GGGGCTCACAGTGTGTCACAGAGGAAGAGGCCTGTGTGTCAGATGGGTTCTTGTGTGGTTGGGGTGAGCCAAATTTCAGTCACATGGCTATTAGCAGTCAGTTCCAAATTGGAATGTTAAAAAATAGAAGAAGGATTAATTCCATTCCAAGCATGGAACCAGCAGCTAGTGTTTGCAAGAACCTCCTGCTGGGAGCACTGGTGATGGGTCAATGAGAGCCTTTCTCTAGCTGAGGAGGGCCCCAGGCCTCAGGTATTTGGGCTTGTGCTGAGGCAGGGAAGAGCAATTCCAGGAAACCAGCTTGTATCCTGGGAGGCAGACTGAGGCTCCAGCTAGGAGGTAATTGAGTGTGCAGTCACACTCACTTCAGTCTTTCATTTGTAATTTATTGATGCAACAATTTCAATCACTGCTATGCAGCAAAAGCAAAAAATATCTTGTGCGTGTCTGGAATAAGACCATCCCAACATTCAATACCACACAAAGCTACTGGGTGCTGTTTGTCCTAGGCTAAACTTGAGACATATGTATGCTTTATTTTTTCATCTTGATTTGCAATCAATGTGTTATTTCTGAAATGAAATAAAATCTGTTCATTTGTGATGCTCTTTAGCAGTCCCTATAGTTCACTCTGTGCCCTGACCAGGCCTGTCAGAGAGGAAGATTAATGGCAGCCACTGTCCAAGAGCTATGGGGCACAGCACACTGTGGTCACAGGGGTCCTGGTGCAAATTTTTGCTCTGAGTCTTTTCTAATGTGTATTGTCCACCTTCTAGTGGGGAAGAGTGTCCTTCCAGAGCCATTTCCAGTGTCGGCAGGGAGCAGGGAAACTATATTTCTTGCTATGAGGGAGTGGTGGGTCTCACCCGTGGATCTCTGCTGCAGGTGCCTCCTCAAGGTGGGGGGAACAGCCCTCAGCCCCCCCCCCTGCACACACACAGACATGCAAACCCCTACAGGCACACACAAGCTTGCGGACAAGTGCTCACAGAGACACAACTTCAGACACAGCCAAGAGGACGAAGCAGAGACCTCAGTTCTTCGCTGCTGAGGGGTAAAATTTAATTACAAAGCCAGCTAGGTGAGGAGAGACAATGTTCACTTGTTTAAACACACAAATCGGAGCTTGCACACACTAAGACAGGCTCAAACTCTGGCCCAGGAACACCGGGACAGCCACATACACTCACCTGCTGGCACACACAAGCTGAGATATACAACCTGCAGGAAGAGACACGAACGCACAGGAATGGAAACTCAGATGTACCCACACAGGCATTAAAATGAACACAGCGTGTGAGTGAGACTCAGCACCTACAGGTTCAGGATTCATGTGTCTTACTCAGAGCCTCATAAAACATTCATTCCTGCAGGAGCCAGAATATTCAAAATTCCAGAAAGAACACAGACTCTCAGACATTTTATGGTCAATCTGACCAGACGCGTCACGTTCTGTATCGGAAACACACTGTCCAAAACTCTCCTGCAACCTCACTCTGCCTGACTATAATCATGTGCATTTCTGGGTTTGCATATATACTGTGTGTTTGTCTGCAGTTGTGTGTGTGATTGCATATCTGTGTGCGCCCAGTGTGAATCAGTGCAGCGTGCAGTGCTTCCTACCTGTGTGCTGGAGTAGGAATCTTCCGTCACTGGGAGAGAGGTCAGCACAGCCCCATCCAGAGTGAGAGAAATCGGAGGCGGACGGGAGGAGCAGACAGAGAGGGTCTGCCTGCTTCTCTCCATCATCTGCTCCTTGTCCTCATCGTCTCCGCCCAGCCTCGCTGTTCGGAATTTCCTCCGCCAGCCTCTGGATTTATTGCCCCGGTGCTGCAGGATGAAGACTTTCCCAACGTGTCTCTGCCTCTCTCACTTTCTTACTCTCTCTAGCTCTGATCTCCTGCTGCCTGTCTCCCTCCTCTCTCTCTCTCCTTCTCTCTCTCGGGCTGTGAAGCAGTTTGAGTGAGTCACAGTCTGCTGCTACAACAGTCTCAGCGTTCCTCCACAGGAAGGAACCTCATCTCACCTCATTGAGTCAATTGTTTAGTCGTAAATCACCATTTCTTGTCTTAGAGCCAAGTTGATATCAAAGAAGAGCATAAAAAATGCTAAGTAAGAAGAAGGGTTACGTTCAGACAAGGGAAGTGGCTTCTGGCCTCTATTTAGCACTGAGACCTGCCTTTGCAAGGTTCAGTTAACAAGTGGGCTGAAACTTTCATTCAGTCCAGGTATTAAACAGGAAATAGAATGTATTAATTAGATGACCCTACTGGTCTCCTCTTGCTTGTAACCTTTCTTATGTCTTTAAGTGCACCGGGAAAATGTTTGCATGTCTGTGTGCTGTATTTGGTTGGTTGTTTCTCAATAACCTGGACAATTTGCAGCTACATGTCACTGTATCTGAGAACAGCCGGTCTAATTCCCAGCATCCCAATGACCATGTCATTCAAGTCTCTGGAATTACTGGATCAAGGATGCCCTCTCTGCTCTGGGAAGAACAGGTCCTGCTGCTTTTCCAAGACTGTGTACTTCAGGGGTGTCCAGCTCTGCTCCCAGACAGACCTGGACATCTATTTCTCATTCATTGTGATATTTTGTGCACTAACAAAAACACAACTATAAAACTTAAAACCTAAGCGACAGGAATTCTGCATCACTTAGTTGCCTGCCGCAAGACATCAGTTAAAATTAATTAAGTGAAAATGAGCTAAACTAAATAGTTAGGATCTTGGATTATTTTAACAGAAACCAACCCTATCGCAGTACTGTTCCGGACATTTTCTGCACAGATATCGAAGGCAATGCTCTACGATGAAACCTACATTTTCTCCATCAACTCTGTTCATTTCACTGTCATGCATTCATATAACTATATCTGAAATAGATTTGTTTGAGATTTCTTTAGAAATTCATATGTTTTTGATAACCTTTCCCATGTTTTTACTGAAGAGGATTTTGGGTCCAATACCGTGTGAGTCCATCAGAGGGCACTGCAGTACTTCTGTCACCCCTTGGCAGTGTCATTAACAGCAATGCAGTGTTACACCATAACACGCACAGCTTCAGTGTAGCTCATTAACACAAAATATACCTGAACTAATGACAGCCATAACACCCCAATAAATCTCCTGTGCGTCAGAGACCATGGGCTGCAGTTCTCTGGATTAGAATGGGCACCAGGATCAAGACAAGGCTCCCTTTTGGGTAGAGAACAAATGCACTTCACTCCATCCCATGCTCCCTTCCATCTTTTACAACTCCATCTCTTCCAGGGGAGAGAAACAAATGCAGGACTGGCAGCATTGTTCCAGCCAACTGAACAACTTCCAGGCTCAAATACATAGTCTCATACACAGATGTTCAAACCCCAAAATTCACAGAGATACACTCACAGATACTGTTGCAACACTTTACTGATGCAGTAACAAAAATGTTTTGTCCATTAAATTATCTCTGTATCCACACAGCTCTGCACAGCAAGTAATAATTAAAGAGACTAAATCAAGCCAACCTCATTAATTACTGCCATGCCAAGCATCAGAAGGGGATGCCAAGGCACAATTTACAATGCGTCAGTCTGACAGGCACAAACTGCAGTTACACTGCTTCCCTGCCCAAAACGTGTGTCTGGCACAATGAGAGAAGTTCAGTGCTGTTCCCAAGTGTTATATCGCCGCCCTACTGGAGAGTGACAGGAACAGCAGTGGCAGGGATTTGTGGCACAGCGGCATGTATGAACATCGCAGTGCCTGCCCCTGCTGCTCCTGTCCCCTGACTCTGGCTGACTGTCTGACTGCACCCTGTTTCTGAGTGAGTAGTAGCTCCACTCCCTAAACCAGAAGCTGACAGTAACTGTGTCGCTGTGTTTGTGAATTAATGCCCAGGACTGCACATACATGCTCTCTCACTCACCCAAATCCACACAAACACAGGGCTGTGTTTTGTTCAACTGGTCAGCAGCTGGTCATTGTTAGAAACAGATGTGGTGTCTTTTCTATTGAGTTACAGCAGGATCCCAGGGGGCTCTCTGTCTCACTCACTGTACTATGAGTGGGACTGGAAGGTGGGGTCTGTCCATACGTGAGCTGAGCCTGAGACAGTGGAAGCTGCACACCGAGGTGAGGTTTGGGACACCCAAGTTCCTTGCAGAAGAGGGAGTAGGTCACCTGGCTCTGAGACACAGCTGTCTTGCTACCTGACTGATGCCCCACATCCTCCCAGTCCCCCCCACCCCACCCCGACCCCACACACCTGACCCCAGTCTTTGAACTAGTTACAGCACACAGGGCCAGCCTGTTACTAAAGTCAACTAAAATGCTAGAGTTCCACAGCTTCTCATCTACAATATCTGTCTGAGACTATCAATCTGAATTTCCTCTTGTCATGATTTTGAACACAGCGGGTGCTCCAGACACCTTCTACTGTATGTTGGAGACAATTCCAGTCTCGCAGGTCTCAAAACTCCCCCAGTGATTAGTACAGAGAGTCTGCTTGTCATCCACTACAGAATATTCATCTGCAACAGATGGACAAATGCAGAGAAACAATGCAGCACAATAACAAAGCAGCACAAGGGGGAAGGGGTTCAATCAACTCAATGTCCAAAGTTCCGGGGTGAACCGTGGTGGGGGGAGCCAATCGCCCACTTCCTGCAGCATCTACTGCGCCTCCCATCTGGAGACACAGGTCAGTGTGTCAGTATGTTGGGATTTGTATGTCTGTGTCAGTGTGTGTGGTTGTTGGGGATGGATGGTGTGTGTCAGTGTGTGTGGTTGTTGGGGATGGATGGTGTGTGT